CACTCTGAGTTTGTTTGTATGTTTGTCTGAGAGGTGGGTCTCCTGAAGGCAACAGATGGATGGGTTCTGTTTTCTGATCCAATCTGCAGTTCTTTTTCTTTTGATTGGTGAATTAAGTCGTTAATATTTAAGATTATTATAGAGAGATGCATTGTGGTCCCTGTCATTTCCTGTTTTCCTAAGTTTTCCTTCTTTTCTTTCCTCCTGTGCTTACTAAGTTAGACTTCTATTAATACCAGTCTGGTGTGGGTCCCAATTCCTGGTTGCTTTCTTCAGATTGTGTTCCCCCTCTAAGTAATTTTTGTAATGCTGGCATATTGTTTATGAATTCATTTAGTTTTTCTTTACTATTAAAAATTTTCATTTTGAAATCAAATGTGAATGCTAGCTTTGCTAGGTATATCAATCTGGGCTGGCAGTTATTGGTTCTCAGGGCTTGGATGGTACTTCACCAGGCCTTTCTTGCATCAGTGTCTGTGTGGAAAGATTTTCCATATCTGTGACTTTTTGGTCCAGTTGGTGTATTCTGTCTTCTGTATCTGACACTCTAAATTCCGTTTCATTCACTCTGTTCACTATGGCTTCCATTGTAGTTTGCATGGAGGAAATGGACTCATTTGTGGATTTGATGTTGGTTTTCAAAATACTAATCACATCTCTTAGGGAGGTGTGTGCTCCCTCTATTTTGTATTAATCTCACCACTTAGTGAGGTGTGTGCTGCCTCTATTTTTGCATGCACCTCTTGTTTGAGACCCTGCATGTTTTTCGATAGTTCGTCCCTGTGTTCTTTAAATTTCTGGTCTATTTCTCACTTTAATTCTTAAGTCATTGCCTCCAGCATCTATTGGATGTAGCTTTTGTCTTCCATTCCTGCTTTGTTCCCATTGGGACTCTCCCTTGGGTGGCTACGGCTATTGGGGGTAGCTTGCTATACTGGGTGTTGATAAACCTTGTAATTTTTTTCTGTGATTTTCACCTGGGGATTCAGAGATTATTGGAGATTAATTTGAAATTTTGTTTTGGTCAATAGGTGTCTGTTTTTGGTTGGTTGCTTTTTCTGGGTTGGCAGAAAGAGTCTGTACCTGGTCTCAGTTCTGTTGGGGGCCAACCTCCAGCTGCTGGTCTGAGCCCACGTAGGTCTCTCAGCTCCTTGCTGTAGATCACTGGCAGTTCCTGCCTTTAGAAGGACTGGGCACCTAGATTGCTCCTGTTTACTCCTATAGGTGCTCTTGGCGAGATCGGGTGTGCTAGATGTACGCTTCCAGTTGCTAGAGTCTGCTATGGGCTCCTGATGTTTGTTTTTTGTTGTTGTTTTCTTTCATTTTGTTTATGCTTTTGTTTTTTGTTTTTGTTTGTTTTTTGTTTTGGGCCAGTTGTGGGGTCTGAACTCTGGGCCTGGGCGCTGTCCCTCAGCTCTTCAGCTCAAGGCTAGCTCCCTACCATTTGAGCCACAGTACCACTTCTGTCCCTTTCTGCTATGTGGTGCTCAGAAATCAGATCCAGGGCCTCATGCACACAGGGAAAGCACTCTACTGCTGAGCCACCTTACCAGCCTGAGCTCCTGATTATTATTAGGTGCTAGTGTCCCGTGTTGTCTAATTCCTGGCCTGGGATATATGTGTCAGGTTCTGTTGGGGTTTGGGATTCTGGTTCTCTTGCTTTGGACACCCATGTCTTTTGCTGTCATGGGCGTGATTCCAGGGGATGAAGATCCCTACTTCCTTCCCCCCTCTGCTGAGTTATATGCTCAGCTTCTGACTTCAATTGGGAGGAGTTGGTTGTGTTGCTCAGGCACCTGATCCCCAGGTCTGGTCCCTGCTCCCTGGCCTGGGGCACACCAGTTGGACCTGTGCTGCTGTGTATCCCACTTGGGTTACACAGCCTGTAGTACACAGTTCAAGTTTCTTCCACTGTTGGATGCTGTGACCCATAGGCACTCTTCCTGGCTTGGGTGTTTAAGCTCCCTTCCAGGGGAGCTTGTTTTAGCCTGGCTGGCTGGTTGTGCTCCAAAGTCTGATGGAGCTCTCGAACAGTTCCCAGTTTTAGTTGGTCCTGTAGTCCAGGTGTAGGGGTCTGCATCAGAATCTAGGGGTTCCCACCAGCTCTGGTCTCCCTTGAAGGATATACTGTCCCCTGCGGGTACTTACCCTGGAGCTAGTTGTTGTTTCTATGAGATGTAGGTCACTGGTTGCCGCTGCAATCACAGTTCAGTTAAGATGCTTGTGGGTTGGGCTGGGCAGTGGTGGCTCTGCCTGTTTCTCCTCTGTCTCTGCCTCTGTTGATGCTGTTCAGGTAGGCACTGTGGGAAGGGCCTCTTATAACTGCCCCACCCACCTGTCCTCATCCTGCCCATCACCAGGCCCAGCCTGCACCCTGCTGAGGGCGTGTGTGAGCCTGCTCCCCAGGTGGCTCTTGACAGTCACCAGATTTAAAGCCAGCGTCATGGTCCATGGATATGGGTCACAGCACCACAGCCACATCAGTGATCACCCCTCAAACACTCACAAGAGCCTGGAGCACAGAAGACATTCAACATTGAGGAAATGCAAAACTCAACCAAAACTGCAGTACTGCAGGCCACTTGGTTGGACAGTTGTCATGGAACAAAAAACAACTAATAAGTGTTTGCATGGCTATCCAGGCACTGGACCCTGCTCCCTTCATGTAAAACAATCCAACCCTGTGGAAGTCCCTTCCTGTTTCCTCCAAAAGAGGTAGCTGGGAGATCAGTGCCTCACTCCTGTAATTCCAGCTACTCAGGAGGCTGAGACTGAGGACCATGGTTTGAAGCCAGCCTGGGCAGGAAATTCCATGAGGCTCTTCTCTCCAATTAACCACCAAAATTTGGATGCAGAGCTGTGGTTCAAGTAGTAGAGCTACAACCTTGAGAATAAAAACTCAGGGACAACATCTAGATCCTGAGTTCTAGCCCCAGGGCCGGCACAAACATACAGAAAGAGTATCTGCAAGGACACAAGAGGAGTGAGACTCTTTCCACATAACTTACACAAAGGTGAATAAACGAATATTTATTCCATGACTTACTGGCACAAAGGGAGATGTATGAGAATCGTGAACCCTCAAACTAGGATGGCACCCTAGGACACCCCCACCTCATGACACATACAAGTGCAATCTGAGGCATGGATGTGACATTGCCAGCATTACCTACAGAGTCTTCTCCCCAAGCTGCAGGCTCAGGGAGGACCCCACATTCCACCCATCAAGCTCTCCTTTTGCATGGGGCCAAGCCTATAGCAGAAACCTGAGCTCCAAGTGTCACTTGATGTCCAAATGGCTGAAGGAGCTGGCCGTCCCCTGCAGTGGGGTTCAGCCAATGGTGGAATTCAAGTTATACCCCACACCCTGCATCCAGGGGGCACACTGGCTTTGAACTTGTGACCCTGCTGTCTGGGTTCTCATGACTGATACCTGACTCAAACTCTGTGTAACTCGTTCCTGTGGTTTATTGTGTAGGGTATAATGACAAGGACAGAAAAAAGAATCTGTATACGCTCTGTAGCTTCTCAATTCATGTGTGGGTGTGCGGGTCCTAGGGCCTTTCCCAGTGTGCGGTAAGTTCCTGCCAGTTCTGAGACTCTTCATTAATCAAAGCAGCTGGGCTTACGGGGTCTGCCTCTGGGTTTCTGGGGAGGTGGGGTGCCCTGGACTAACAGTCCTTTCTGAAAGGGTCAGGAGAGACAGGGACTGGGGTGGAGCCTTCATTCCAGCCTCTGCACACCCTGCCCGTAGTCCTCATGATCCTCTCTAAGCCTTCTGTGTGGTGGGCAGTACAGTGAATGGTACTATGATACCATGGCCAAAGAGGAAGGACCAATGAGGACAAAGATGGGAAATGTCTGGAGAACAAAGGGTCAGGGGCTTATGGGGGAGGGAATAGGGAGAGAGTGTAAAGACAAAGCCAGAGACAGGCCTAGGGTTGTTGATTTACAGGAGAAAAAAATAATAACAAAAGAGCTGGGCACCTGTGGCTCACACCTTCTAATCCCAACTATCTGAGTCTGAGATCTGAGGATAGCCGTTCAAAGCCAGCCCTGGCAGGAAAGTTCATAAGATGCTAATCTCCAATTAGCCAGAAGCAGGGCTGTGGTTCAAGTGGAGGAACATCAGCTTTCTGTGGAAAAGCTTAAAGGTGGTGTGCAGACCCTGAGTCCTCCTGCAGGAGGAGCACAAAATGAAGAAGAATTAAAAAGAAGAAGAAGGAGGAGGAGGAAGAGGAGGAGGAGGAGGAGGAGGAGGAAGAAGAAGAAGAAGAAGAAGAAGAAGAAGAAGAAGAAGAAGAAGAAGGAGAACTAGAAGCAGAAGGAAGAAAGGAGCAGAAGGAGGAGGAGGAACAGAAAAAAGAGGAAGAACTGTCTAGTTAAGTTTGAATTTTAGATAACAAATAAAAAACTTTTCTCAGCCTAACTTCTCCAATCAATGTTGGAGGGTTTTTTTGTTTTGTTTTGTTTTGTTTTTGCCAGTCCTGGGGTTTGAACTCAGAGCCTGGACACTGTCCCTGAGCTTCTTTTGCTTAAGGCTAGAACTCTACCACTTGAGACACAGTGCCACTCCTGGCTTTTTCAATGATTGTGGTGCTGAGGAATCGAACTCAGGGCTTTATGCATGCTAGGCAAGCACTCTGCCACTGAGCCACCTTCCCAGCCCTTCCTGTTGCAGTTATTCTTTTACCAAGAAAAAATAGGATTGCCCAGGTTTTTAAGTCTGAATGTCTATTTAAGCACACACACAGAGGGTTCCCTCTGCACCCCAGAGTCCCCTGACCCAGGGCCCAGGGGAGAGCCCTTTCCTTCCCCAGCCCCAGCCAGACTCCAAACCTGGATACAGGCCTGGCACCTCCCCTCCTTGCCCAGAGGAGTCTTGGGAGGCCCATCTCCCCACATTCAAAGGCCCAGAAGATGCCCCATCACCCAGGAAATGGGCCCCCGGGAGAGGCCCCTGCCAGCCTTGGCCTCCCCAGCAGGAGTGTGCGTCACACGTGTGGCCACAACTCAGCCTCCTGCACTTCCCTCCTGTCCCTGCTCTTATCGACTCAGAGCAGCTCAGGATGCAGCATCTGAACACACAGCTGTGCCTCTCCTTGCTGCTGCTGTCCTTGGGTGGTATGTGGCCAAGAGCAGTGGGCTGCTGGGCTGGTACAGGCCTGGGATGCAGACTGAACCCATTTATCTCCCCACAGGGTCCCAGGCTCAGAAACTGGGCTACAAGGTGCAGGTGCAGAGCCAGGTGAAGGTGCAGGAAGGGCTGTGTGTCCTCGTGCCCTGCTCCTCCTCCAACCCCAGCCAGGAGGCAAGTCTGGATTCCTCCCCTACTGGTTCACACAAGGAACCAATACAGACACCGGGGAACCAGTGGGTTCCACCAAGCCAGCTGGATCCATGAAAGCCTTGACTCAGGGTAGATTCCAGCTGCTGGGGGACCCCCACAAGAATGACTGCACCCTGTTCATCAGCGATGCCCGGAAAGAGGATGAGAGAAATTACTTCTTCCAAGTAGAGAAAGGAGAGAAGCTGAAATTTAATTTCCTGATAGACATGTTCCAGCTGGAAGTGACAGGTGGGGTGTGTGGGGTCCAGGCTCCCAGGCTCGAGATGGAGGCAGTGTCTCCCAACCACGGCCTGATCATGAGCATCTGGTCTCTTTCTCTCCCCCAGCCCTAACTCAGCCGCACATCTTCATTCCGGAGACCCTGGAGCCTGGGCGGGCAGTGATCATCATCTGCATGGTTCCCTGTGTCTCTCAGCAATGTATGGCCCCATCTATCTCCTGGTCCTGGCCTGCCAACTCCACCACTGAGAGCAGACCCCAGACCTCCTTCCTGTCAGCAATCAGCCTCACACCACGCCTGAGTGACCACAGCACCAAGCTCACCTGCCGAGTGAACTTCACACATAGTTACTCTATGGAGAGAACGGTCCAGCTGAGCGTGGCCAGTGAGTCCTGGCTTTAGTTCTGGCCAGATAAGGCATCCTGGTGTTTGTGTGGAGAAGTCTATCTGGGGGTCCCAGAAAAGGCAGGAACCACAAGACCCTGGGAGAAGAGGCTCTGGTTGTGGGGACCAGCAAGTCTTTCCTGAAGAGAGCCCACACATCTCTTGCAGGCGCCCCCAGAGATCTGGTGATCACTGTTTTCCATGACAATGCCCAAGGTGTGAGGCCCAGTGGCAGGGCTGGATTGGTCCTGGAGAAGTGGAAAACCCAGGGTAGGTGGAGGGGACCAACTCATTCTACAGCGCTCACTCTGCCTCTCTTTTGGGGTCTGTGAGTATTTCTCTTCCTCTCGCTCACTGCCTAACTCTGATTCTCTCTGTACATCTGTCTATGTGTCTCTGTCTCTGTCTTGCCCTCTCCTGTCTCTCCCTAGAATCCCAAGGTAACACGACATTCATGGACATCCCCAAAGGCCAGTTTCTGCGGCTGCTCTGCACTGCGGCTGGCCGGCCTCCCCCCATGCTGACCTGGGTCCTGGGGAACCGAGTCCTCTTGAGGTCAAATGCTACACAGCCTGGAACCCTGGTGCTGGACCTGCCCAGGGTGAAGTTCAGAGATGCGGGGCGCTACACATGCCACGCGGAGAACAGACTAGGCTCCCAGCGCCGCACCCTGAACCTCTGTGTGCAGTGTAAGTGGACCCTAAGTGGGCAGGGGAGGGGAAGAAGAGGAGAGAGGCCAGGGAAGGGGCAGAGCCCCACAGCTTCCAGGGCCCAGCAGGCCCAGGGCCTCGGTTTGTGTGTGAGGCCCACGCAGAGGGAGCCCTGGCCATTGTATCTCCATTGCAGACCCTCCAGAGACACTGACAGTGACCGCTTCTCAAGGAAACAGCACAGGTGACAGGGGACACAGCAAGCCGGGCCTCCCTCTTGCATCCATTACTGGTGGGGATGGCGCCCCATATCTCTGTCTCTTCCTCCCCTAGAGCTGGAAATCCGCAGGAACAGCTCATCCCTCCATGTCCTGCAGGGACAAAGCCTGCACCTGGTCTGTGTCACCCACAGCCAACCGCCGGCCACGCTGACCTGGGTCCAGGGTTCGAAGACGCTGAGCCACCCCTTGCCTGCAGAGCCTGGGGTCCTGGAGCTGCCCTTGGTCGAGGCAGAACATGAAGGAGAATTCACCTGCCGGGCGCAGAACCCACTGGGTGACCTGCACATCTCCCTGAGCCTCTCTGTGCAATGTGAGTGGAGGACAGTGCTGTCCACTGCCCTCTGGAGGGAACAGTTGGCAGAGTCCCTGGTCAGCAGAGTCCCTGGTGTGTGGCAGGCTGGGGAGGAAGAACAGGGGAGAAATGGAAAGCCGGTATCAGAATGAGGCTCAGACACAGTGGAGGGATAGCAGCCTCAGGACTGCCGGATAACCTGACCTGGCTCTCACACACAGATGAAGGCTCCATGTCTGCAGCATTCTCCAAGGGGTCGGGCCTGGCCATCGGTGCCACAACTCTCCTTTTCCTCTGCCTCATTGCACTCATGTGAGTTGGTGTGGAGAGCTGCGGGAGCGCGACCAAAGACGGCTGCAAAAGCAACATTGTAGCTAAAATGGCGGGGCCGCGTGGTGCGGCTGCGCCCTAAGATGGCACAGGCTCCCGCCTTCCGTCTTCCCCGTGACGAGTGCTCTCTGTAAAAAACAACTCCTTATATGGCTATGACTTGGCTCCTAGTTTGCTTCCGTGTTTGCAGCCCTATCGGTATATGCCACGTGGCGCTTCAGGATTGGCCATCCAGGAGGCTTATAACCGGAGCGCGGGGGCGGATGGGAGAGAGAAACAAGGAGAAAACGAGGAGAAACAGGAAGAAGCGGGCAGGAGAGAAGTAGGAGAAAAGAAGCTGTAAAAGAAGCGAGCAGGAGAGAAGTAGGAGAAAAGAAGCTGTAAACAAGGTCCTGAATAAACCGTCTGAAAGAAGAACCTGTTGTCGCGTCATCCTTGCGGGTCGAGGCGGTCGCGACAAGTTGGGGGAGGTCAAGGAGCCAGAGGTCAGGAGTCATGGGATCAAGTGTGTGAGAAGGGGAAGGGGCAGCAGTGCTTCCAGAATTGGTTTATTCCCACAGTGTGAAGATGCTGAGGAAATCACAGCCTCATACAGAGACATGCAGAACTCAGGTCTCCCCACACAGCACCGTCCTTGATAACAGCATCGTCAACCCTAAGGCCCGGGTCCCGTGAGTGTGCGGCCCACCAGGCTGTTGATTCACTCTGGAGTCTAAATCAAGCCCCATGTCCTACTTTGTCTGGCACAGTGTTTTGCTATGTCATCTAGGATGGCTTCAAACTCGCCATCCTCCTGCCCCTCAGCCTTCTGAATGCAGGGATTATAACTGTGTGCCTCTCTGCTCCAGTCATCTTTAGAAACTTTGTGTGGGGTGTCCATGACTCCCAAGGGACTAGTGGCATGCTTCCAGAGCGTGTGCCTCTTGATTCCAGGAGGCCATAGTGACTGCTTGGGTTTTCTTCCATTCTCCGTTATAGGGTGCAGGGAAGGAGGCTGGAAGTGGGGAGACAAGAAACAGGATGTGCTGCTGACAGCCCACCATCAAAATCATAAAACCAAGCTAGGCACAGTGGCTCTCATCTGTCATCCTGGCTCTTTGGCAGGCTAAGTTTGAGAGAATGATGGTTCAAGGCTTGCCTGAGCATAAAGACCAGAGTTTGCTGGAACAGCAATGAAACAAAAGGGGCTTGGGGCAAGGCCAAACTGGTAGAGCTCCTGCCTAGGCAATGAAAGGCCCACAGTGGCCGTGCCCACCCCAGGCCACGCCCACCCTGGCCATCTCTGTTGGCCACAAACCCAGTTCCCCTGTACACTTTTTTCCTTTGGGTGGGGATGGAAAGCAGACTCAGTGAGGGACTTAGTTTTTCTCCCAGCTGTGCCTTCAGTGCCTAAGTTGTACCAGGCACCTGCTCAATGCCCAACTCTGGTAGGTGAATGAATGAATGACTGACTGAATGAATGAAGGGAGGTTATTCTTTCCTTGGATGCAGAAAAAGAAGGCCAAGCCAAGCAGCCCTCCAAGGACCGCTTCTCCAGGCGCTGGTTCCCCAGAACCAAGGAAGAACCAGAAGGCCGCCTTGAGCTGCCCCAAGCCCAAATCACCCACACAAGGTCCAGACCCTGAGAGCTGCCCGGAAGAACTAAGAACTCCATTATGCTGCTCTCAACTTCTCCCGGCCTCTGGAGACCCCGAGGCCCAGTATTGTGGGATAGTGATGCTTACTTAGAGTCACAAACACATCCTAACTTTCATGGGGTAAATTTTCTATCGTGGCCTATAACATTTATGAGTTCTATGAGCTTGGCAATACAGTTATTTCTTCCACATCGTGTGATATCTACATTTCTTTTGTTTTGCATAGCATCAGCTGTTCCTTCTTTCCCACTTGTTCCCTCCCTCCCATTACTGCCATTGAGTTGCTTAGTTCATTTTGATCCATGTCCAGTGCAGCTGATGGGTCCCACTGTTGTATGTTTTTCCCTTATTCCCTCTAGTTCTGAGTCCTCCTCCTGGTTTCCCTCTGGTGTGCACAAATATAGCATATATGTGATCAGCAGCATGGGGTTATTTAGTAGTGATTTGACCCAATGAGTGGAAGTCCTTTGTTTCTTAAGCCTTGTTACTTTTGTCCTATCACCTTAGGTTTTGGATTTAACATCCACTTATCAGGGAGGCCACGTGCCATTTGTCTCTTTGCTCTTGGCTTACCTGGCTCAACATGATTTTTTCTAGCTCCATCCATTTCCCTGCACATGCCATTATTTTGTCCTTTCTAATGGCTGCATAATATACCATTGAGTATAGATACCACAATTTTTGGATCCATTCATCTGTGGTGGGGCATCTGGGTTGTTTCCATATCCTGGCTATTGTGAACAGTGCTGCAATAAACATGGAGGCCCATGTGTCCATTGTTCAGGATAGAGGCTTAGAAGTGGTATGACTAGGTCATAAGGGAGGTCAATATTTAGCATTCTGAGGACCCTCCAGATTGCTTTCTGAAGTGGTTGTATAAGTGTACATTCCCACCAGCAGTGTAATAGGATGCTTCTTTCTCTGCATCCCCTCCAGCATTTGTCGTTGGCTGACTTGAGGATGTGGGCCATTCTGACTGG